TATCTATCTATCTATCTATCTATCTATCTATCTACCTATCTATCTATCTATCTATCTATCTGATGTGTGGGTTCGATGGTACTATAAGATGTATGGTACTTAACCTCTGTTATTTTCTGGAAATCACCTCATGAGGCAGTGGCAGACTGACAGTAAACAATGTGAACAGCTTTGACTTGGATTTATATAAGATTTTAAATGATAGTTTTATTACAAGGGTTTTTGATCGAAACTGTTTTATCAGACACATTTAATCTGCAAACTTTTAAAACATATTATTTTAATCCAGCACGTAATCCTACTTCCACATCCCCGCAGATGCGATTATAAACACTGTTTTTTTTCCCCTCGCATTGTAAAACCATTTTGGAAAAGGAGTGGCAATTGCATTAATGGCGCTGATATGACCTTATGCAGTTGCAAGCGCCGTAAAACATATACTAAAACAACAAAAAACTGCAGCAACCCGTATTATAAGCAATGGAATCAACGTGGGACGAAAACGGGTTCTTCTACACCTGAACACCAAAATCTCCGTGGCCTGCTTCTAAGAACAACAGACGAGAGTCCTGTAGGACGCCACGACAGGTGACAGACAGCTAGTTTTCTTGACTTGAACCCAGGCTTGTGAAATGGGGGCTCTCGTGGCCTAAAGATTAAGGTTTTCACCTCTCATTCAAAGGTCCCGGGTTCGAATCCGGGTAGAGACCGAAAGAAATTTTCTTTTCTAAAATTGTCTCCTCTTACCTTCTTTTCCGCTCTCTAGCAATGTTCTGTCGTCTGCTTTCGTCCTCACCCCCTTCGCTCCCCTACTGTGGGCGTCTGACTCTTTCTGCAGCTTTTCCACTCCTTTTCCTTTGCTCCTTCTTACTGCTGTCTTTCAGCCACACTCCTAATCTTCTGGTAAGAAAAATCTACTCTTAGCCTTCTTGGACAAGGGCGAAAAATCTCAGAGGTTCCGCTTGCAAGTTGCGCACGTTTAATATCCCTTGGTAGTCTAAAATTGATAAGAGTAGGCTTCGGCTGCCACCCGGACAAAATTCAAAATTAATTCCTACCAAGCTGACAAAGTTTAACTTGCATATTTCGGACAACTTCACCCACTTTTCTCCTGCTTCGGTCCGCGAGATATATATTCAGAACCACTTAATCCGGTCCGCGAGATATTTGGAACCGCTTAATCCGGTCCGCAAGATGTCTGGAATCTCCTAATCCGGCCTGTATGTCCTTGCATGCCATAACGTATTGAGGACGCACAATCTGGACATTTGATACAACTTGGAGACGTCCTGGGTTTTTTTAGGGGACTTTAAAAAACAGAAGTGTAATTTCGTTATCTAGTCCTTCAGATTTTCAATTATGTTCTTTATCTGGAACTTTAGAAGGGCGACAACCACATGCATACAATGAAATGTGCAAGTAATTTTTAGGAGCCTCTTGTGGCCGGGAAGTTACGGTGTTCTCCTTTCACCGCCTTATCTGCTCTCTAACAATGTGCTGTTGTCTGCTTTCATCTCCACTTTCTGCCCTCACCCCATCACATCCCTTTCCCTCTCCTCTGGGCTCCTGACTCTTTCTGCAGTCTTTCTACTGCTACTCATTGGCTCTGTCTTACTGTTGTCTTTCAGCCACACCCCTGATCTAACACCTAGCCTTCTCGGAAAAGGACGAAAAATCTTGGAGTTCCCTGGTGCTAGATGCGCAGGTTGAAGTTCCCTTGGTGATCCAAAATTGACAAGAAAAGGCGCCGGCCACCACCTGGGCAAAATTCAAAATGGCCTACCAACTGATAATGTTTAATGTGTCCCGCGCGCTCATACAGACGCCAACATAAGTTAAGGACCACCTTGACAAACAGCCCTGATTTTTAAAAATCCCGAAAAAAAGACAGAAAGATTTGTTTCAAACTTTTTTGCCCTGAAAGTGTTAATGGGTTACCAATGCGTAGGGCAGCAGAGCTTCCTAAAGGGGCAAAACCACCACGTGCTGGACAGGAATTTTAGCCAAATTTGATTTTTTTTATCGACTTGTGCACCAGGGACATTCCTCAGTTAGAATTTCTAGTGTACGTCATAAACGGACGTACGGTCTCGAACTGTGCTCACTTTGGTGGCAATATAAGCCTCGGTTTGCGAAAGATGAAAAACTTTGATCGTGCCAGGGCTATGGCATAGCTGCAGGATGGAGATGGAGCCCGAAATGTTGCCAGAAGGCCCACAGTTTCACACTCTGTCATTTTCCGCTTGAGGCAGTGCCATCAAGCCACTGGATCAGTCCAAGAACGCCCAAGTGCAGGTCAACCCAATAAGACCTTTCAGAATGTTTGTAAGTGGTCCTTATCTTATGTTGAAGTCTGTTTGACCTTATGCAGTTGCAAGGGCTTAAAAACAATTACATCCCTCGCCCTCCTCCGAAAAAATCCGCAAAACAAACAAACAGCAGCAACAGCAAAACCAAACCAATTATTGTTTCTGGTCTGTGTATAATAATAATAATAATAATAATAATAATAATAATAATAATAATAATAATAATAATAATAATAGATAACATTTGTATAGCTCAATTCTCCGCTCAGCAGCAAGCTCTATGCGCTTCACATTTACCCCAACAGACCTGAGAGCATTCTAAAACAACCTCAACTTCCTGGGAAGCATACAGTGCAAGCTGCCATATAGGGGCTAAAACACTAACATACTGACAAGATCTTTCACTAACTATAGCTGGGAAGGCCTACCCATTCCCACCTGGGTGAAGTGAGGAAAACTCGTGTAAAGTGCATTTCCCAAGGACACAACGTCAGGCTCGTGGCTCGAACTGCCGAACAAGAAACTTGACGATTGCGAGTCCGGTAGCCTACCTACCCGACCACAGACGCCACATAATATTGCGTGTCCTCTACGTACTTAGAAGCGTTAGCTCGCGTGTCCACCAAACCAAAAAACCGACAGACCGTCAGTCTTCCGTCTCTCGGGAAGTCGCAAGTTGAAATAGAGTACCGGTTTTTAGCAAAGCAATCAGTGAGAATTCCATTTGGATGTGTCCACCAAAACTGCCCGACACCTCCCTAAAAAAAGACGGGTCGGTTAGAATGCCTCACGTTACATTAATTTTTAGTCAAGCCATGAAGTGACACATTAGCCATAGCTGACAAAAAGGGTCATGTCTAATTTTAAGTTCAAATGAAGATATAATGTCATATCTGTCATTAGCGCAACTATTATTGAAAAGCCAATGTGTGTTAATAGCTCCCCCTCAACTCGGGTTCGAGGATCCTGTGTCAGAATCTCTGCTACTCCTTGATGAATAGGACTCGAAAGTAATTATCGTGGTAAACCATCTCCAAAGCCCCGGAAGAACAAGATTTAGTTCTCTGGGGAAAGGGAAGATGTGGTCCATAAAAAATAAGGTAGCATATTATCGGAGAGTCGTCAACAATAACACCACAGAAAAAAAAAATTAATTTCTTAAAAACAAAAGAACATCTTTCCAAAAAATCCTATCCAAAAATGAACAGTCAGACACCATTCATGCCTAGTACCAAACCAAATTTAGACCACACACACACCCATCCAACTTGAAAAACAATGATCAACAGGCAAGTCATGTGGCTTCTGGAGACACAGGCTCGAGCGTGTGGCTTCTGGAGACACAGGCTCGTAGAGCGGTCCTCAGAGCGGATTCAGGAAAACTCGACCCACTCTGGATAACCTGGTTCGCCTGGAGACTTTTATACGCGAGACTTTTGCTGAAGGAAGCCATAATATCATCCTCTTTTTTGACCTCGTAAAGTAAGCTTTGGACACAACCTGGAAGCACATAATTCTTAGAAACCTGCACGCTCTCAGCCTGCACAGTCACCTCCCTGCCTTCACTGTCAATTTTTCTTAAGAACTGTTTCTTACAGGTTCTTGCCGGATCCTCTCTTTCAGATCCCTACCAAGAGGAGGAAGGTGTTCCCCAGGGATGTTTCCGTTCTCCTCTCCTCTTCAAAGTCATAATCAGTTCCCCTGTTCATCCCTCCCCCAAAATAAAATAAATTCCCCACTTTTACTGTTTCCTTGTCCTTTGTTTTAATTAGAGTTTTACGGCACTTGCAACATAATAAGGTCACACAAGTGCCGGTCCTTTGTCCGATCCAGGTAATAGAGTATTATCTTATCTTTAAGTGTTTATCGTCATTCTGTTTCAGATACGTGACTCTTTCAAACAATGGGGGAACCAACAGCAAAATCTTCATACCCGGAGCATGAAACTCCTGCATCATATCCTCAGCTCACAGAATTTGTGAAAACGTCTGATGATGGTCTGTCTGACCCGACCCTGACCTCTGGTGGGGACCTGTCAAAACAGGAGGCTGGTGGTGGTGGAGAGGTGGGACTCAAAGACAAAGATATGGATGTGGAACAAGGCAAAGAGGAAGACCACACCTGCAAGTGTTACGCAATGGTGGTGGACAAGATAGAGGACTCCGTCTACAACTTCGCAAAGGCGCACCAAAGGAAGATAAGCAAGGGCTTCAAAGTCCTGCTCTACCTGGCCTTTATGGCTTACTTCGCCTACGCCATGAGCTACAGGTAAATTAACACGAATGCTAACACCACTACTTCACTACTACGATTACTACTGCTGCATAAATTATGAGACAGCGTGGTGGAATCAGGCTCTCGTCAAAATAATCAAAGTGAAGAAACTTGCATTTTTCCGCAGGTTTGTGAATTTTTATAAATTTTTTTTTTTTTTGGCTCAACACCTTTCATGCCCATTAAAGAACTAATTTCAGTGAGGATTTTTCTGAAAAGCGTTGATTAAAGGAACATAAAAAGCAAATTTTCTGTCACCACGAACTCTTAAGCTGAAGAAATAACTAATCTTTGACTGTCATTTTCTCTCTAATTTTAGCTCTGAAAACAGGTAACCCAACCTCCTTCATTCGCAAATATCTCGACTTTCATTCAAGATAAATGGACATTTTATTCATCCAAATAAAGACAAGTGAACAAGCTTTAAGATGCTATTAATAACTCTATTTGACAAAAAATTGACGAGAGCCTGGTTCCACCACGCTGCTTCACATATATGAAATTTATCGGTTGAGGTTGTACTATTTTTTGGTATGAAGGGATAAAAATACATTTTACACTCGGCAAAAGTTCTCAGTCAAAAATCTACAAATTAATGTTATCTCCATGTCGATATTCGGCTCATATTTCTTTCAGGGATTATGAGAAGTAACTCATTTTGTCAGCTCGCTTCACATGCATGGTTTCCCACTAGGTTTGGAGACAAGGGGTCTATTATCCTGTTGGTGGTGTATGTGTGAGTGTGTGTGTGTGTGTGTGTGTGTGTGTGTGTGTGTGTGTGTGTGTGTGTGTGTGTGTGTGTGTGTGTCGAGAAAAGGAATGGATTCTCTAAACACAATTCGTTTATCATTACAATATTTGATATCTGTGCACACTTTCTTTTTCCGTGAGTATAATATATACAGTGGAACTAGCTAAAGCTGAACACGATTAATTGATTCAAATTAGGCTGGGAGGCGACATCAATGTCATTCGTACACTAAGGTATCGAATAA